GGGTTGGGGTTCTAGGGTTTAGGCCTCGTTGTTGCGCCCGAACAATCACAATTCAACCCTAGTTCAGCCACTAGATTCTCTGCGGGGCAGGGGCGGTGCTGGCGATCGTGTGTCCCGCACCCTGCTGAAGGGCCCTGTGAGCTTCAGAGCATCGGGGCCGCCGGTGAGCAGCTTGGGGAGGTAGCGCCCAATGGCGCTGACAAGGACGCCTGATGGGGGCCGGATTTACGCAGGCGTTTGAGGAGATTTGGCCAGATTGGCGAGGATTGGCGATGAAAGGGGGGCAGCAAAAAGGAAAGGGGTGATGAGAGGCTGGGCGCTGGCCGGAGGCCAGCGGCGATCGCGAAATACAAGAAAAAGCGCAGGCGCAAGAAGAGCTGACTGAGGAAGAGCGAAATGTGTGAACATGTGCTGTTGCCCCATGCATCACTGCTCCGTGCTGGGGCTGCATGAGATGCGAAGGAAACTAAGTTCTTGGACATCAGTCAAGGACAGCAACAGGAACAGTTGCAAGCAAGCCTGCGTTGCCCCAACCCACCTGGGTCGTATCTGAATGCTACGGGGGGCAGCAGCGTGGCAGCCTTGGCCAGCGGCTTCATAACCGCCTATTGGTGAGGGGGTTAGGCATCCCAGGAGAAGTGCAGAAGGCGTTTGGGCTGCTGCGGGCCTGGTGATGCTGGTGGTTGTACAAATACAGGGTGTGCAGAACCTGAAATTCATAAGCGGTGCCGCCATAGTCTAGGCTCCCGGATTGCAACGGCGCCAGGTCATGGGCAGGCCGGACAATGACCCGCTGCAGAGGCAACCAGGTGGCACATGGCTGCCTGTTGTCCTCCTTTTTTTGCCACCTCTGCATACCGCTGCCAAAGGTTGGCAGACAGCCGGGCTGAAGCCAGGCCCGCCAGCACACCTGCAGCCGCGCCCAGTCCGCCTTGGCGGCGGGCCCTTTGCCCATGTCATCCAGGACCTGCGCCGCGATGTGCAGGGTGAAGGCAGGCCATCAAAGTTGGACTCCTCGGTTTTGCTGACCCCATGTGGGCTCGCCCGCGACCGTGCACCAGTCAACTGCAGCCACTGTAGCCCGATTGAGGGGCCACGCACACCGCCTTTGCCGGTCGAGGGGCCACGCACACCGCCCGCTGACAAGCAGTATTCACGCCCGAATTCACCTGGAAGAAGTTGTCGTTCCCGATGCGAGTCAGGAAGGTGCCCTCAGGCGCAATCACGTTCCAAGTGTCATACTTGACCAGCTCCAGCTCCTCGTCGATGGCCTGATGATGTCAGCATGACATCCGCATGATGATGTCGTCATAGATACAATTTGATAAAATCCGGGAAGAGAGGATGGGCAGCGCGTCAGCTGCATGCGAAGCTGCTCGCTGCAAAAGAGGGCTGCCCAGCACAGCACGCAACAGCGCCATAATAGCACCCGAGGCCGCAGTCGAATGGCTTTATGTGATTGGAGCTCGACAGATTTACCACCCCCGACCCTACCTGGAAAACGTGCGCCATGGGGTTGGCGTCGGCGCCGCGGCCGTCCATTCCGCTGTACAGGCTGGGCCCGCTTTCGAAGTGGTAGCCGTCGCGCACCTGATGCAATGCATTGGTGGACGGGTAGTAAAAAGGGTAGAAAAACAGCAGCGGGTGTGTCTACCTTGAGTTGCTGTTTCAAAGGGCGGCAGCCGGGCAATCAGCGCCCGCAACGTTGCCTGCACACAGCAGCACGCCGCCGCAGGTTGAGCTGCTAGCTCGTTTGTGGCCCCCACTATTCGCATGTGCCAAGGCAGCGCCGTGTTCGCTTTGCCCCGTCCCTGCGGCCGCTGCGCCCGCCGTTGATATGCCCTGGCTCGCTGCCGCGTCTGTGCCGTAAGAATAGCTGGCGCGCCATTCGCCGCGGGTGGGTGCGCGCACCCATGCGTGCGCGGCGCCGCCAGGGATGCTGTGGGACTCGCACACAGTGACCTGGAGTTGCACCAGTGAGAGGGTTTGCATGAAGGGGCAGTCAGGACATGTGCGGTGGGCAAGGGCAAAACAAGGGGGGCCACATGGCCAAAAGGGCTGCCACGGGCTGCCTATTAGTTCAACCAACCCTCTTTCACACGAAAAAAGGAGCTCGCCCCGCCTTGGGCCGCGTTCAGGGCGCAAAAGCCGAGCGGCGAGCCATCCGAACGATTGTAGATGAGATAGACAGGCCCTTGGCTGCAAAAAGGTTGGGCCGCCTGCTGGAGCCGCCGCCGCCCGCGACGCGCCTTGAATCCGTATTTTGCGAGCATGGCGGCGCACGAGAGCCCGCCAATGCCGGAGCCGATGACGACCACATCTGTCTCGTGGGACCGGCCCTCTCCCGTTGCTGTCGTCGGCGCCGGCGCGGCGGGGGCGGTGGCCGCGCCGGCCGCGCGGGCTGATGGGCCTGCGCAGCGGGTGGCGCGCCGCGGCGAGGGGCGTGCCACCACACGAGCGCCGCATGAGCCCGGCGCGACGGTGGGGGCGCGCGCGGCCTGCATCTGCGTCAGGAAATTCTGAGTGTTATACGTCGACGCAGAAAGGTACGCACGAAAGCGGGCAGGATCACTTCAAGGCTCGTGAGTAGTTCTGATGACAGATCGCGGACCAGCTGGCTCTGAGCGAGCTCGAGAATACGAATCGGTGTAGGCAAATACCACCAATGTGCTATGGTTCGCTCATACTTGTGGCATGTGTTGACGCCAATCACGGGATTGACCGTACTGATCCTGCTGACCGCAGTGATGCTGCTACGAATGGCTCAATTGTATTTTTTATCGAAACTCGTTGCTTCTGTTGTCGCATCAAAGCTGGAAGTAGCCTCACGCTAGCGCCAAGCAGTATGCAGCAGCGTGTCCAGCACCGCGGGCCCACGCAACAGCATCGTGGCAGCGCTTATGGGGCTCTTTTGAGGCCATCATGTCTTTCTATGGCTGCGCGGCATCGCCGCGCAGCCTACATGGCTCGCGGCGCGGCCATCGACACAGCACCCACAATCGAGGAGGCCCTGGGCGGCAGCCAAGTCCGCCACTACATCCGTCCTCAGGCTCCATGGCCAACGGACGTGCCAATCCAGGCGTTAGATGTGTCTAGCACGCCTGAGGTGGACCTGGTGATCGCTGGCGCGGGCCCCTCCGGCCTTGCAATTGGCGCAAGGGTGGCAGAGGCGGTGAGTTCGACTTTGATGACATGCAGCTTTAAGTCTCAACTCGCCCAGCTCGCCGCCCGACATAGCGCCGCGCGCCCTGCTGCCCAACGCGCCATGGCGCGGACCGCCGCCCACCACCCGCCGTCCGAGGCGCATGCAAGCGCCCCGCGTGCGGCCCCTCCCACGCGCCCCCTCCGCCGCGCAACCATGCATATCGCGCGCGCACAGGGCTACAAGGTGGCCATCGTAGACCCTGAGCCGCTGGGCATATGGCCAAACAACTACGGCGTCTGGGTGGACGAATTCCAGGCGATGGGCCTGGAGGACTGCCTGGAGGTAATCTGGCCCAAGGCCAAGGTCTGGCTCGACAACAACCAGGGGGAGAACCTTGGAGAGAAGTGAGCGGCCTTAATAGGATGGGGTGGCGAGCGGGTCGGGGGTCCGCGGGAGCAGGCGGCGCCGCTCGGGCCTGGCGACGGGTTGCAGGGGCGGCGGCGCTGAGTCGCGCGGCGCGAGGAGGTGCGGCTGTCTGGGCCACGAACGGCGCAGCAGCAGGGAGCGCGCGGGCGGCAGTGGCTGCGAGGGCGTAGGCAGCTAGCTGCAGCAGGGGAAGTGCCGGCGCGGGTGTTTGACCCGCAACCGTTCCTTCAGGAAAGCCAGCACGCCCGCTGCCAGGTTACCGCTTGTGGTGGTTACCTGTTGCAATATTATTCCATCTGCATTTCTAGACACTCAGCCAGCTGTTCCCAGTCCTTGCGTGCCGCGCGTTCGCACACGCCCGTCCTCCTGCACTTGCCAACCCCTGCCCAACATCCTGCGCACAATCCGGCCTCCTGACAAAAATCCCAGGTTTCTCGCTCGCCCCTACGGCCGCGTGGACCGCCCAAAGCTTAAGCGGAAGCTCCTGGAGCGCTGCGTCGCGGCGGGTGAGGGGGAGACGAGGGGGCTGGACAGGGCTAGAAGTGGGGGGAGGCTGTTGCGAGAGGAGGGGGAGGGAGGTGGTGGGGGCAGAGGAGCTCAAGAGGAAGATGAGGTGGCGGGTGGCTGGAGATGCACAGGGCAGTCATGGGCGACAACAGCGGCGGCAGCGGCGTCGAGGAGTGCCGCTCAGGCCGCTGCTGGGCGCACGCTCGGGAGGCGGCTCGGCGGTGGCGGGTGGCGGCGGGCTGCTTTCCAGACCAAGTCGGCGCGCACAACGTTGCCATGGGCTGCAGGCGGTGCCGCGTGCCCCTCCGGCACCCCCAAAAGCAGCCCTTTTGCGGCGCGTGCGCCCATGATTGTTCCTGGTTGGCTGGTTGGCTCCTTGAAGCTAACAATCGTTCGGTGCGCCGTGCATCGGCTGCAGGCGTCCGCTTCCTGACTGATAAGGTGGACAAAGTCGAGCACGCGGGCGGCCGCAGCACAGTGGCCATGGTCTCCGGCAAGGCGGTGCGGGGCGCGCTGGTGCTGGACGCGACGGGGCACAGCCGGCGGCTCGTCAAGTATGACCAGAAGTTTGACCCGGGGTACCAGGTGCGCTCCGCGATCTTGACCGGGGTTTGACCGCGATTTGAACGTCGTTTGATGCTGGATTTTGGGGTAGTGTTATTGGTTTGGGTCCTTGGAGTTGCTGCAGGGTTGCCCTCTCTGGCCGAGCATGGGTGGCGGGCAACATATGAGGCGGAAAGTTCGACCTGCGCAGCTGCATAAGGCGCGCGTCTGCGTGCAGCGGACGCCCCTCACCACGCGCCGGCGGCGTCCCTCTGTCGCGCCCCCTTGCGGCGACCTGCATGCGCCAACTGTCGCCGGCTCCCCCACGTTCGCGTCGCGCGCGGCGCCGCCGCAGGGCGCGTACGGCATCATATGCGAGGTGGAGGGCCATCCGTTCGACATCGACACAATGCTCTTCATGGATTGGCGGGACGACCACCTGCCAGAGGGCAGCGACGTGAAGGCGCGCAACGCGAAGCTGCCCACCTTCCTGTACGCCATGCCCTTCTCCAAGAACAAGTGAGCGCGCGTTCCGTGTGCATGGGGCGTGGGGCGTGCGGCGGCGTGTGGGGGCGTGCCCGCAGCCCGTTGTTATGTCGCCGCTGCTGTCCTGCGGGGGTAGAAGGCGCATCCGCGGACGGTTGGGGTGGCCCTGTGGCGGCGCCTTTGCTGCGCAGGGACCAGTTCAGGAAAACTTGGTGTTGCGTCGCGATGTTATACAGGACGCGCAAGGGTTGAGCCTCGCTCCGCCGCCCCGGCGCGCCCCTTGTCGCTGTCCCCCAACAGGGTGTTTTTGGAGGAGACGTCGCTGGTGGCGCGGCCGGCGGTGGAGTTTGCGGATTTGAAGGAGCGGCTGGAGCTGCGGATGAAGTGGCTGGGCATCAAGGTGGGGCGGAGGGCGCATGCGCAGCGCGCGCGCACACACACACACACACACACACACACACACACACACACACACACACACACACACACACACACACATGCGCGCGCGCGTGCGTGCGTACGCGCACGCACATACGCACACACATACATGCGCGCATGGCGCGTTTGGGTCGTGCTGCGGAGGACCGACGGATGACCGCGTTGTGTGTGTACACTTGATGTTGCTGGGGAGGCAGGCTTGGTGCGACCAGTGGGCGCCTGCGTGTGCTGCGATGAGGGACGGAGCGCGGTCAGTGAGGTCCCCAGGAGCCTCTACAGGGCCAGCTGTTTGGGACGCCGCCGCGCGTCACCCGTGCGTCACCCGCGTCACCCGCCCGCATCACCCGCATCACCCGCAGGTCACCAAGGTCGAGGAGGAGGAGTACTGCCTCATCCCGATGGGCGGCGTGCTGCCGACGCACCCGCAGCGCGTGCTCGGCGTCGGCGGTACAGCCGGCATGGTGCACCCCGCGACGGGCTTCATGGTCAGCCGCATGCTGGGGGTGGCGCCCACCATCGCGGACGCCATCATCGACCAGCTGGCACGGCCGGCGGACAGCGCGGCGACAGCAGGTGCGTGCGAGGGCGGCTTTGCAGACGCGGAAGGGGGGGGACTGCATTTGGCACGGCACTTGCGGGTTGACGAGCCTCGACGCACACTGGCGCCCTCGCGCCCGGCCTTGAGAGACCCACCCCAAATCGTCAGCAACCGCCCTCGACAGCCCCAAACCACCTTCCCTCTGCCCCATCGCGCCCGCCCGCCGCCGCAGGCACCCCCCACGGCCCGCAGACCGAGGCGCAGGCCGACGCGATGGCCGCCGCCGTGTGGCGCACCGCCTGGCCCGTCGAGCGGCTGCGGCAGCGCGCGTTCTTCTGCTTTGGGATGGACGTGCTGCTGCGCCTCAACCTGGCGGAGACGCGGCAGTTCTTCGCGGCGTTCTTCAGCCTCTCCGCCTTCCATTGGCACGGCTTCCTCTCTGCGCGGCTCGGGTTCCTGCAGCTCATCGGTGGGTTTCTTTTGCTTTGAAATGTCGTCAGCTTTTTGTTGCGTATGGCTCGCAGCCCATCAGTGCGTTTTTGTTTTTGAAGGGCGCCGGGTGCCGGGCGCCGCGCGGGCAGCAGAGGGGACGACGCGTGCGGCGGTCCAATCGCCGCCGCTGGTTCCTCTGCCGTGCGTTCGCCGTGCAAAGCGTTGGGGCTCGGCGCGCGGCACCACCCCTCCAGGCCCGCCCCGCTGGCCCTGCCCGACGCCCCTCTCCCTCTACCCTGATCGCGCCGCGCCGCTCCCTCCCCCGCCCCACTCCCGCAGCGTTCGGCCTGTCGCTGTTTGCGAAGTCGAGCAACCAGGCGCGCGCTGATCTTCTGATGAAGGGCCTGCCAGGCCTGGTTGGCATGCTGGCCGGC